CTGGTTGGTACTTTCAGTGAAATATCATGCTTGGACCTAAAGTACTCAGGAAAATAAAACCTACATAGAAATGAAAGTTACTATGGAGCATTTCAGAAACATTCATTGTAAGCATCGGGCCTAAGAACGATACGAGACTATTAGAAATAGTCCAGTCTCCCACCTTATCAACAACAAAACTACTCTTCTTGGGCTCCAGCTGTGAAAGCCTTTTTGCTTTTGCAGTTTTCCAGTTCAATTTAGGGTGAACAAGTATCTTTGACAAACACCACCACAACTGCCATCCTGATTCTGCAGCCAACGTGACCTTTGTTAAGAGAAAAAGGTTACATGTGTCAATGTGCGTTTTTGACTCCATAGGCCTCCAGAAGCAAAGTGGAATACGCACATCTGCATGGGCTACAAATTATTGCAGCATAATTGCATCACTTAAATGTGCACAGCAGAAAAACAGCACCTAAGGCAACAGCTGAGGTCTGTTCAGTTCCCCCCACAGCAAACCTTGTTTCGGAGAGGCTAGCATTTCACTTCTGGAAGTTTACTGCTGATTCCATTCCATTCCATGAAAGAACCAGTCCTTCAGCGTGCAAAATGCATACGCCACCACATACTTCTCGAACACTTCTGCATGCAGTTGAAGACTTCCTTTACTAAGTAGCAAAACTACAATAGATACCGAAAAAAGGCGAAAAGGCTAGACAACTTTAGAGACCTTTTTCACTGTTCCATTCACAGTGATACATTAGACTAATACAAAAATCCCCTCTGAGCTTAGGATAATTTGAGTAGAAAACATGTCCTGAAACAACTTCCACGACACAGCAAAAATGAACTTTTAACTTCCTGAATTTAATTCAATCTTCATTTGCCAATACTTCGCTCATGATGAAAGCAAGCTCATAGGCTGCAACGTAAAAGCACTTTATATGCAAAATTACATTTCTTTAACTCCCTAAAAACTACTGAGGTATCTTCAGTATTAAAAAACAAACAAACCAACCCACAGACTTTACACTTATTTGCCAAGAATTAAAAGAAGAATTAATTAAAAGACAGAATAGTTAATACTAGAAGGGATTTGGAGAAAAGAACATTTTCACTGCTTTAGGTCACTTGGCAGTCTTTATTCTTGTAACTAAAAAAGGTCATAGCTAAGGGAAATTTTGCATAAACATTGCCTCTTTTTAAATATATTATATTTATCTACAAGATCTGTAGCTTCCAGGGAACTTGTTACTAAAGAACTGACCAATGATTTTTGATTTTGTACCTTATTAACAGAAAATAATTGAATGGTTCTTAAACCTTGTTCAAAGAGTGGGGGTTTGAGGGTGGGGGAGTTGTTTGTTTGTTTTGCAAAAAAAGAAGATAACTTTGTCTTTTCAAATAGACAAAGTATTTTAACTTGGAAAGATTAAAGTTTCAGCTCCTCAATAGCATCCACCCCCCTCAGTGTCCCATCTCCTAGGCCAGTTTCCTGCTTCCCCACCATTCCCTCAAGCTGGGCTGGTACAACTGCTTGTAGGGCCCAGAGCAAGCTGGATGGGAACTGGAGTTGGGCCCAAAATAATCCTGTATATAATGTGGGGGATAGAGAGAGGGCTAGAACTGAACTACATCAGCTCTGTGATCTAGTTCCGATTCACCACACAGCCCCGCAAACAGTTTTAAGGGGAGAAACAAGGTGTTCTACACATGGTTGGGTTAAAGAGGAAAACCTCAGGGCCAGCCCTGAGAAATAGCCATGGAACTAGCCACCGTTCACAAAGCACAAGGCTGTGTGTGACACAGTACGGTCTATCCACGAAAGACAGAAAACCCTGCACTTCATATCTGAATGACGCAAGCTTATCCTTTCCCCTTGCTGGATTTAAATAGGCCAATATTAAATGCATGAGCTTAAAAAAACCCCTTGATTTTTGTTACACTGTGTTCCCTAGAGGAATACAAGTCCTATGAGCAGTATAAATAAATGCGCAAAACAATCAAAACATGGTATGCCCTTTTCAAAATGTAAATAAAGATTTTTTTTCTTTTTTTAGATAACAGTTTTGAAATACAGTTGGCACAGGAGCTTATTTTAGTTGAAGGAAATTGGCAAAGATACTGAACGTACTGTAATTCTAATAAACACTGGTGTGATGCCACTTAACTCCTAATTAAGCAAATTTTAAAGAAGCACTTTTCACTTAAACAGTATATGGTTTTACAGAAAGATTTAGAAAATTGAAACTTAAATCCTCAGGACAGAGACATGATCAGGCTAAGGCTAATAAGACCAGGGAACTGATATCCTGCAATCAGTCTGGTATATCTGCAGTATTTGAAAGCTTAAGTGCATTCAGTACAACACCACAGGCAATGAAAAACTCCATTTGCAATAACATCAGTGCAAAAATAAAGGCATTTCTTTGCTTTTACTAGCTGTAGGTTAGTGTTATAAGTGAAGATAAGGAAAGACACTGGTCATTTCATCAAGGACCCCAAAGATACTACTAACATACAAAATTGTTAATATAAGACTACAAAAAGCAATCTGCTGCAAACGTTAGATACTAAATTTTATCAAAACCTTAAGTCAAATGGAGACTCACCAGGAACGTTACACACTAAGCACATTAAGTGTTTACGAAAGGATTAATCTTCCTTGATAATCTATTGAATTAACTTCTGCCACTGTACTATCAAACACTTCAGTTGTGTCAACAGTATGGTAAGAAACTAGCACTACTTCTTCATTTTAGCAAAACTCCATGAAGCCTGGACTAAGAAGGAATGCAATATTGATCTCGATCCTTATCACATTAACCTAAGTTAAATTAACCTATATCACATTATTCTAAATTAAGCATGTAAATATACAGTTATATTATAGTTGTCTGAAGAAGGCCTCATCTACTACCTCCCCCTGATCAGGCAGACACCCACCATAATGTTGCTCACGTTGGTCTGTCCACCAGTCCTGACCCATAAGCTCTTGCCTGGCTCAGCATCCGACCCTAGGCAGAGTTTTTTTTTCCTGCCCTCCCCCCTTGCCTTCCCAGTCTGTCCTTCCTAAAAAGCCAATATCCAGCCAGGGCAGCACCTCAGTTCTGTGAGCTATCCCACTGTGGCTCTGCAGTCCCAAGGAGATCATGGCCTTGCAACTGCTCACAGACCTCTAATCCTTCCTGTTTACTCCCATGAAGCGCGCAGCAGCGCACGGGTGCTTCAGAGAGGCATCAGCTATGCTCGTTTCCCAGGAGAGCTTTGGTGCCCACGCGGAAGAGCAGCAGCGGGCAACAGTCTGAGGGCTGGACAAGCCTCGGCAGTTTCTCCACAATGTGCCAGATCCAAATCTCCCTCTTTAAAAAAAGAGAGGCAGCAAAAAAAATCTAATTTCACATTCATCTAAACTAAAATGTAAGAATATGAGAAAGAGGGACAACAGAAAACAGACATTAATTTTTAGAATCAAGCTTTCCCACTTTTTATAGCAACAAAATAAGAACGTTTAATAACTTGGATTTGAACCCTTTACTTAATATTTGTTAAAAGGAGCTATGCAGGTAGACTGGCCTCCAAAATAAGAGCAGGCATAAATGGACTTTTAAAACAACAACTCCGGCAGCAAATTAGGTATCTTCACTTTGTACTTCTTCGAAAGACAAGCAGCATCAGAGATTTCGGGTATTAGGTACCTGAATACAGTGATGCACAAACTGCAAAGGAAAGATATAACCTAAAGTAGGATGCTGTCTTTTCTCCCCTGTAAATCAAAAAGCTGCAACTCAGTAAGAAAGCGTATGTCACAGATAATGGCTCCTATAAATCATTTTTATTCTTTTGTAGCATAAAAGGTTTCTCTATGCTTCAAAGAAATTCTGCAAATAAAGCAAAAATCAGCTGTATTCCTCTGGCACTACCACTAACACACAAATACATACCTTCAAAGAATGATACTAGTTCCACTCCTTGAAGTGAGATTATAGGTATCAGCAGCAGGTGCAATAAGTATTATTTCACGGCAGCCTGCTGACACTATCTTCTAGTTTAGCAGCAATATTGTTTTAATTTACAGAAGACATCTTCACATCATTTACATGTTAACCCACTATAAGCTACAGACAGAAGTTACAAAAATAGCTTTTCATTGTTTTAAGAGAGAGACTTTGTCCATCAGCTCTCAGCAACTTCAGTTCTCATGCAATACAATTAACGAGGAAGCAACAGGAAGCATACAGTCAAACGTCAAATTCTAACCCCAAAATCATGGGATACAAACAACCACCTTTCCAGAAAGCCACAACACTACCCCCTACATTTTTTCACGTGGAGTCCAACTACAGGCCCAAATCTGGCAGACCTTCCTTTAGGCCGCTATTCTAGAAAGATTCATGAAGGTAAACTGAGGTTTACCAGTAGATAGCTATTTAAATGAAACAACTTAATAGAACACAGAGAAACATCTAGGACTTTTTTCATTTGTTGGGAGTTGCTTGGTATCTCATTGTTGTTCTAAAATCTTCGAGCTTGGATTCATTTTTCTGACCAGCTAATGTGTTTTGGATTATTTTCCTGCTTCTTCCTTCCCAATAAACTGATCATTTTCTTCTTTTTATCCTATATATACGTTTACAGAAAAAATAATCTTGGAGCCCAAGAACAAACACTGAGATGTATACACGTCTACTTATCTGAACATTAGATTAAGAAAACAATTTCAGGAAGCCTACTATATTCCTAAGTACCTTATTAACCACAAAATACAAAATCTAAAGAGAATATCAATTAATTCCTGAAATATTCTAACTTCAGACATTCTTCAAGGAACTGTCTAAACTGAATGTGACATCTGAAAGACTGTGAGGAAATATATAATAAGTAATATAAAACTATACACCTAACTAACACCAAGGCAATACAGCATAACTCAGGAAAATCTACAACAACAACAAGAAAACACTAGACAAACAAAAGAGACCAACACAAATAGAAATTGTCACCATTTACGGCTTTATTTGGTTTCAGCCTCCAGTATCAGTTTTAAGAAACTGAAGAGCAAACTCATAGACCAAGATGATCATTTCCCTTTCACAGGGTTCATGTGCACTCACATGATGGTTTGGTTTTGTTTTGTTTTTCCAGAAAGACCACAAGTTCAGAATCATTAGGAGGCTAGCTTGCCTTCAGAAATGGCACAGGTTCTCTCTAAGTCCTTAGCAAACACCCAATCGCATCCCACAGAGATCACTATTTTTGCAAGAGTCTAAGATTATAAGTCTGACATTACATACGAATTGGTATTTTCTTTTTTGATATCTTCTTCAGAACCAATCAATTTTGTGGTGCAGCTAAGAATGAGGATCAGAACTGCAGAGACACTAAGCTGAGAGGCTCTGCTGAGCTGACCACTAAAGCCTGCTTAGTTTTTTTTCAGAAAGGCAAACGCCTTCCTAGTAAGATTTGTCGACGACCCCAGTGGAAATGGTATTAGGTCAATGAATCACATAACATCAGATACCTCTTCCTATTATTTTGCTTCTTATTCTGCTATTTTGTTTTGCAAAATCAATACAGAAGAACAATGCTTTCCTCCATGCTTTAAACCAACATAGAGGCACTCTCACAAGAACTACTGCGCAGAGTTACAACTGCACCGACACGATCTCAGGAAAAAATGACCATTGCAATACATATAAGAATGGCTAACAAGCTGAAATACTGAACTGCATGTTCAGTAACTAACATTTCACATCTCTCAGAAGGCTACAGCCAAGTCTCACAGACAAAACTTACTTAGGAGGAAAAAAAAACCCAACAATTCTTCTGGGTACCTAAAGGCATCCAGAGAAATGACATTTTAATTGTTATTTTCAGGTAACTGTTCAGTCAGTGTTTAAATGTCTAAATTGACATTCGAATTGCACTGACCACTGGGTAGGGAGAGAAAAAGAGATACAGAGACTAATGAACGGCACAGGCCAATTTCATTACTTGCCACACAATTGGCATATAAAGGGCCTCTAAAACAGGAAATAAGCTACAAAACAATAGAAGATGCAATGACATGTTGCTTCATTCAGCAGCAATGATACCAAAATGGTTATGCAGTTGTGAGACAGATGCACTTTGACAAGCATATATTTTAAACCTGATCAGAGCACTTGATCTCACTGGAGCTTCTAGACACTGTACAGGGTATCACTCAGAGCTTGAACTCTGGGAGTTGCGGCCACCACTCCACGAAGTAGTTTGTAACACCAGTTCCATTGCCAGCTTTGGATACCGGTGTCCTCTTCTAGACCACACTTAAGCCCTAACTAATACAGCATGGTCTGTAACATCCAGGTGTGAATACTTACAAATACAGACCTATTAGTATTTTTTCAAACTTCACTAAAGTGATGTTGCTAGTTTTAAACATATCTTGGTGATTTCAAATGCAATGACTAAAAATAAAATGTTATTTTTTTTCTCATCGGTTTAGAGTTTAACACATGCCCGACTTTTAGAAACAGTCACCTCTAGTGAATTATTTCTGCTTACCACAATAAGCCAGACGTAGGACAAAACTTGAGAGTTCAAGGAAATGACTCTCTCAGACCTCACACTTAGGAGTACCTCTTCAGTCTCAAATGCCATCTGATTCATCAAACACACCTTATTACTCACCTGGAAATAGGTGAGGTTTTCCTACAGATCTAATTGCTTCCTTTAATACAAGGAAAAGAAAGACTGATCAGAAGACATTTATCAAAAGTGTCTTCAGATGTCTGATAAAACAAGATATATGCTCCATAATATGTAAGTTCCATAAGTCTGCGCTCATACTTTTCGAAAAGCATGAACAGATAATCTAATCACTGAAGAGGAAATACACCATCCATACTATATACAATCTTTTCCTCAGGAGCATTCCTCTCCCCTCTTTTTTTTTTTTTTTTTATTTTAATGGAGCAGCTGGTAGGCACAGACTTTTCTTAACAACTGTAACTACCATCTTCCAAATATATAAAGTTAAACAAAGAAACTAAATCTGAGAAAGAGCATGCAATACAAATTTCCAACTAATTGTAAAAAAAAAAAAAAAAAAAAAAAGTCCATTCTCTGTACTACTAATATAAAGAAATCCTGGAAGTGATGGCAATGAAAGTCTCATGTGCGTGTGTAGACAGGAGAAACAGTAATCCAGAAATGAGGCCACACCCGTGACCATCCACCTTATCACTCAGGCAGCCAAAGAGCAAATAGAAACTGGCATTTAAAAGGATGATTCAATTTACCAGAGTTTGATTCATTAATGCAGTTCTAATGAAAACTGCACAGCTTCAGGAGAAAAGTATCATGGCAAGGGGAGGGAGGAATGAAGAAATATATGCCTTGAATTGCAACATAGTGCAGATATGAAGAGAGAGTGAGTTTCCTATTTTGCTTATGGTGTAGAGAAGCGCTTCTTTTACAGCATTTACATTCATCATCTATGCAAGTGCCATGCTCTGTGGGGCAGACTAGAGGGTTACCTGCAAGCACTTCCATTCATTGCCTGGGTCACTGTCAAACTCAAGACAGGAGTGCTTGTTCTTCTCCTGCTTGACTTCCACCTTTTTTTCCTTTGGTACTTAATTTTCTAATCTTTCCTCTTTTCAGCATTTATTTAATAATAATAATAATAATAATAATAATAATCTTACCTTAGCCAGCCAGCATTGCCTTTCTTACGGAACCACTCAGCGCTAACTATCTATTCAAAAAGTTGCTTGTAACCATACGCAGGCTGCTAAGCCTTAGAGTAGAGGATAAGGTTGTGACCAGTGTCCATCTTTCTAGCAGGAAAATTTCAAACAAGCAGGAATCATCATCCAACTAGAAAGTACACTTTATGCCTCTTCTTCTCTCCTTTATACGGATTTATCTTTAAAGAAAGAGGACTCTACAAGAGAAAAGCAATTCATCTCCACTATTTTTTGTCATTTATTCCAAAATGCAGTAGTTACTTCTAATAAAGCATAAAAGATGGTCGGACAGGGCGCATTCTGTCCTCAGAAACCTCTGTATCTAAAGGCCAATAAGGTATTGACAAAATGAAGGCCATACTTAATACATGGCATTTCAAATGATTAGCTGCTTTTATCTTTTTAATAAAGGAAGGAGACAAAAGTCTTAATGGTAACTATTTTACCACACTAAAGTCTGAACATGATGGACAAGACAGTGATTGGGAATAGCCTGCCTGGATTTACCAAGGGCAAATTGTGCCTGACCAACCTGATTACCTTCTGTGATGAAATGACTGGTTCTGTGGCTGAGGGGAAAGCCACGGATGTCATATAACCTCACAATAAAACGGCCTTTAACAGAGTCTCCCATGGTGTGCCACTGCACCCTTATTGCCAAATTGGGAAGATGAGATTTGGGTAGGTGGGTGGAGAATTGGTTGGACCACCGAGCTCCGAGGACTGTGATCAGCAGCACCAAGTCCACCCAGTAGCCAGTCATTAGCTGCAGCCCTCAGGGATCAATACTAAGGCCATTGTCATTTAATGTCTTCACTAAAGACTAAGAAGATTATAATGAACTGGGGGACTCGCCAATTCACTGAAAGGCAGAGCTGCTACTCAGGGGGACCTTGAAGCTGGAGATACAGGTGGCCAAGAACCTCATGAAGTTCTATAAAGGCAAATGTAAAGTCCTGCCTCTGAAACAGAATATCCCATGTACCCATACAGGCTGGGAACCAACTGGCCAGAGAGCAGCTTTGCAGAAAAGGAACTGGGGATTACAAAGGTAGAAATGATCCAGCCATAGGCTCCTGTGGTAAAGATGGCGAACTACATACAGGGCTGTATTAGCATGAGTGCAGCCAGCAGGTTAAGGAGAACAATTACTACCCTCTATTCAGCTCTGGTGAGACCAAATCTGAAGCACTGTGTCCAGTTCTGGGCTCCCCCGTACAAGACAGACATTGACGTACCAGATCAAGTCCAGTGGAGAGCTGTCAAGATGGTTAGGGGCCATGAGGACATGACACATGAGGAAAGACAGAGAATTGGATTTGTTCAGCTTAAGAAAAGACTAACAAATCTACTGCTGTCTTCAACTACCTAAAGAGAGCATGCAGAAAAGATGGAGCCAGATGCATCTTGAAGGTGCACGGTGATAAGACAAGAGGCAAACTGACATGAGTTGGTCCACAGAAAACTCTGATCAGACATCAGAAAAAACTTTTTCACCATGAACATGATGAAATATCTGAAAACGTTTCCCAGATAGGCTGAGGAATATTCACACTTGGAGACGCTCAAAACTCAAATGAACAAGATTCTCAGTAACCTGACCCAATTGGACCTACTCTGAGCAAGGACTGGACTAGATGACCTCCAGAGGCCCCTTCCAACTGAAAGCACATATAACGGATATCTTAAGCTGAAGTAATGCTACATAGCAACAGAATATTAATGGACAGAAAAAGTAAACAAAAGGATTAAAGTTAAATGACTGTAAATGACTGTAATACATATGCTGGGAACTGATAAACAGCTACTAAAGTATATGGCAAAGAGAGAATTTGCTGATTTTATTAGCAAAAAGGTTTAATCCCAATTCTCCTAAACTTGTTCATTTGAGAGAAAAGACCTACATGAATCCTCATATAGCAGAAGAAAGGGTTTTGGCAGGACAGACACGTAACTTAGAGTTGTGTTGAAAAAATTTCTTCTTGTCCTGCTTTCTTCTTTCTGTAGACGCTAAAGATACTTTGCTTGGAGTCACTGCAATCACAGGAGAGTACAGCCTCCCAAGGGAAAACCTATGGCTAATATATCAGTTTAAAATCACTTGAACATCCACAGCTGTGGATGTTACAGAGCTACAGACAAACAGCAGTGTGCCTGAGCAGGGAAGAACTCTGGACTAATTTCTTCCCAGACAGAAAGGTTTCCAACCTCAAAACTGAACTGAGTGGAGTGTAAGACTGACTACAAAAAAAGCTCAGATACTATGCTATCTCAAATATGGCAAATAATGCAACCA